GTGAGGGGAAAAGGATGCAGAGATATAATCTACTGTGGGGACCACCTGGGAGCCCTGAGGAACCAAGGTCGTTATGACTCATATTGTTTATAAAGCTGATTTTGCTGGGTGGAGGCTGACCTCCTGAACCAGACCAGTCAGTTGTCTTGACGTGGACTTCACTTCCACCTATGGAAGATATAAATTGTCAGCATGTAGAGTGTTCCCTTGTAGCCTTTCCAGGCAATGTCTCCCATCCCAGGAAGTAATAGATATTCCAATTCTTCCACCTTCTACAACTGTTGATTTATTTTGCCTGTTCTTGACCTTCACAAAATGGAATCATACAGTATGACTAGATTTAGAATTGGATTCTTGGGCTTTTCATCATATCTGCAATGATAATTGTCCCGTGTAGCAAAAGTTTATTTTCCCACCTATGTTATATTGTCTTAAATGAATATACCACTATGTCTACATTCTCCGGCAGATGGGCATTTAGCTGCTCTCTAGAATTAAGGTATTATGAATAAAGTTGCTGTGCATAATCTTGTGCTTGTCTTTTGATAGATTCCATTCTCAATGGTAAATATCTATAAATAGGTTTGCTGATCTACAGGATAAGCATAAGTTTAGCTTTAATAGATACTTCCAACTAGTTGCATCAATTTAAATTTCTTGAGATTTGTTTTATGGCTCAGCATATATCCTGAGAGCTCCATGGCACTTGAAAGGGATGTGTATTCTAGCTACAGAATGTTGAGTTTTGTAAACAATTAGATCAAGGAAGTTGATAACACTTCATATCTTCTATTCTTTATTGATTTTTATGTCTAGTTGTCTTACTTATTGAGAAGGCATGCTAATATCCCCAATTATGATTTTGCAACTATTTTCCCTTAAATTCTGACTTTTTGCTTCATGTAATTGGAAGCTCTATTATAAAACACATATGTATTAATAATTGTTATGCCTTTTTGATAAGCTGGCATTGTTTTCATTGTAAAATGTCCCTCTTTATCAATTTTTGTCTCAAGGTCTATCTTGTCTAATATTAACATTGTCATTGTATCTTTCTCATGTTTATTGCTTTCATAGCATATCTTTCCCCATCCTTTTGCTGTCACTTATTATCTGTTTTTATAATTAAAGTATGTTTCTATAGATAGGATTTAATTGGATCTTGCTTTTTTCCCCCCTCCTGTCAGAAAACCTCCATCATTTAACTGGCATATTCATTCCATTTATATTGAATATAATTTTAGATATAGCTTGATTTTAGTTTAATATTTTGCTATTTGATTTGTCATAGCCCCATCTCTCTTTTCTCTATCCCTTCTCTTCTACCCCATTTTGAGCTAATGAAATATCCTTAGTATTTCATTTAAATTCCTTTATTGGCTTTTTAGCCATATATCTCTGCATCTTTTTCATGTTAACTTAAAGGTTACATCATGAATAATACAATTATCACTATCAATTTAATGTTAATAGTATAACACCTTACATAATATGTATTAATTTCAACACTATGAATCTATTAGCCCCAAGTCCCCACTCTCTGTGCTATTGTTAATGCATATTCTTATCTTCATATGTTATAAACTGCACAATCAGAATATGTTACCAACTGCCCAATTTAGAGTTGTCATTTCTGCTTTACACAATCAAATGGTAAAAAGAGTCACTGTCTCCCCCAGGGGCCACTATAGGAGCCTCCTGGCTGACTTTCCACTTCCACTCTTGCCCTCCTTTTTATGTCACTATTTACACAAGAGCCAGAGGTATTTGCTTTCAAATGAGAAATGGATGATGCTGTATGTCCCAAGCTTATTTTGCTTCAAAGACTTCCCAGGATGAAATGCAGACTCCCAGAAGTGGTCTTATATTAATCTTCTAGGGCTTCTATAACGCAACACCACAGACTGAGTGGCTTAAACAACAGAAATTTATCTTCTCACAATTCTGGAGGCTAGAAATCCATGATCAAGGTGTCAGTAAATTCAGTTGCTGGCAAGATCTCTCTTCCTGACTTACAGACAACTTCCTTCTTGCAATGTCTTCACATAGTCTCTCCTCTGTGAACGCAGAGAGATCTCTGGTCTCTTCTTCTTATAAGGACACTAGTCCTATCACGTGGGACCTCACCCTTTATGAGCTCATATAACCTTAATTTATCTCCTAACAGGCCCTATATCCAAATTTAGTCACATCAGGGATTAGGGCTTCAATATATGAATTTGGAGAGGGGGACACAATTCAGTCCATAAATAATAGGCCTGAAATGTTCTGTCTGGGCCTTAAGAGAGAAAGCTCTGTCTAGCTAATATGCAACCCAACACAATACACAGCACAAACATAATAGCCTGTGCCTATTAGTCAATGCAGGATGTACTGCAGGATGGACCACACTAGGTCTGTCTATGTAAGCATAACTTTCATGGACTCCTAGATCTCGCCTCTCAGAGCAGTTTGAACTCTCAAAAAATGAATCATATTTTGAAAAATTACAGTACAATTTAAACCTAACAATAACCCAGACACAGCCAGTCAGATGCCTCTGTGCCTTCGCATTACATCCCTGTGCAAGCCCTGAGTAACCTGGACAGAATTCTGCATGCTCAGGAGGACCCCAGACACAGGATCCTAATGAACAAATAGGTGATTTCAGGAGACCCAAGAAGGCAGCCAGGGAAAGGGAGAGATGGTGAACTAAAAGTAAGTGAGCTAAAAAGATGACACTCAAGCACTCATTTTGCAGAGAATTCAAATAGCTACATAGGAAAAAAGCAAAGAAGTTGGTACAAAACTTGATCTAAAAATATAAAAAGCAAAAAAACTTGACCTAATTGCTAGGCATACTATTTTTCCATGACAAACTGTTTGAGTTTGAGCAACTGCAATCAATATATTTACATGACATTTACCCAAAAACAAGAAAAGAAATAGTTCACTAAAATAATTTGAAAATTATTTTTTATAAATACCTCAAAAAAAGGCTATATTTCCTATCTCCTAGGCCTGTCTGAAAATGAAAAGTTGTATTCTACAGTAACATGTAACAAATCTGACTCGTGTGCATGTGGCCTTTATTCATTATTTTAACAGACCTGGATGTTTGCCTGAGTTGTCAATAATGCTTTGCCTTACTCCACATGGCAGTTCCTCCCAAGTGCTGAAGCTGACCTACCCAAATGAGGCTGCTCACTCAATCTTTTTTATTTATTCCATAACATCTGTATTTGTTTCCTATCACTGCTCTAACAAATCACCACAAAATTAATGGCTTACAGTTTTATAGGTCAAATGTCTGCTGAGGGTCTTATCAGGCGGCAATAAAGGCACTAGAAGGACTGTGTTCCCTTCTGGAGGCTCCGGGGAAGACCCTTTTTCTTGCTCATACAAGTGATTGGCAGAATTCAGTTCCTACAGCAGAACTGAGATCTTTGTCTCCTTCCTAGAAAATAGCTGAGGGCCATTCGCAGCCTCTGTAGGACACCCACATTCCTTGGTTCACTGTCCCCTCCCCCTTCTCAAAAGCGAGCACTCTCACACTTTGAATCTTTCCCTCTTCTTCCATGACATCCTTCAATGACCAAACCAGATTATATTGGGTCCACCTGAATAATCCAGGATAAGGTCCCTATCCATCTCTAGGTGCATACTTTTAATTACATCTTCAAAATTCCTCTTACTGTGGAAGGTAACATATTCACAGGTTCCTGGGAATAGAGTGTGGACATTTTTGAGAAGGCCATTATTCTGCCTTCCACACCACTGCAAGGTCTTTGGGTCCACATACTGGGCATTTTGCTAGTGCAGCATTTTCAGGCTTTCTCCTCTCCTCCTCCCTATCATACAGAGAAAGTCACTGCAAAGTGCACAAGGACTATCATTTTCACTTGCACTGGATATTTATTTAGCCTCTCAGATTTGTGGTGGACACCCAAATGTGTGACTTAGCCTCTGTTCCTCAACAAAGATCAGATTTTGCCAACAATCCAGCTGCAGATTCTCCAAAAGGGTCGAAGACTATTTCTAATTTCCAATATTCATAATCAATACCTGCAGAACACATCCTTTTTATGAACCATTAACTTTAGCATAAAATGAAAAAGGTGAGAGAACCTAGCAATAACTTGGTGTAGATTTCTTCCAGAAAAAGTGTTTCAAAAATGCATTCAATTAGGACCAAATAATGCCTGACTGAACATTAAAAAATAAAAACAGGGGAAGGAAAGATTCCTCTTTAAAGTTAAATAAATTTTAATTAAACAATTTGTTAGTTGATCAACCATCTGAATCGCTATCAAAATCATCTACAAAGATTTAGCTTTTGTATTGGAAAAATAAAACTAATAGATATCCTTTCATATGTCTGAGCACTTTCTAGATACAAATAAAAATAAATGTTATAATTTAGTAAAATTAAGGAAAATAGGTTCTAGTATGCATTCATTACTTTTGAACAATCTGCACAAGACTAAGGGCACATCAAAAAGGCAAATGCCTCTCTTCATGGTTGTGAGCCCATTTTCTTAGTGTTAATGGTTTTGCCCACATCTGCTTCATACGGGGTATTTAGGATATAACTTGGAAACCTGGGAAGTGTATTTAAAATAGGATGTTCCTGTGGTTGTCCAAGGTTGCCCACTCATCAAGATTACCTCTCCTCCTTCACTTTTTCCTACCCAGCACTTATCATTCAACACACCATATAAAAAGTTCATTATTTGTGCATAAATAAATAACCATACTGTCAGGATATACTGACATATAACAACAGCCCTGAGGCTCCCTGCCCTTTGATGCACTATCAACAAACAGTACGAGTTGCACAGTGTAGAATGTTAAGAAAATAATAATGATGACATCATAGATTCAAGATAAGGGATATGACATTTACTATGAATGAGTCATTATTCTTAGAAGGTTTTATTTGAATTCTTCTCTTTCCTTTTCACCTTGGAGTATGTCAGGGACAGGGGGTGTTTATTTGATTTATCTTATTGTCTGCATATCTTCTGTTGCTCAATTCAATTTTTTTTCTCCTTGGGTGAACCGAACAACAACAGCAAAGACCTAGGTGATGACAGGACAATTTTGAATATCAACAGCCGCAAGAAAGTGACTCAGCATGTGTTTTGCAGAAACCAAACTCATGTTTCTGCCTGACTGCCTTCAGTGGGCACACAAGTCATCTGTGAAAAAAAAAATGCAGGTTTGAAATAAATACACAAACAAAAAGCAGAATCAGACCCATAAACACAAAGAACAAACTGACGGTTACTATAAGGGCAGGGGGATGGGTAAAATGGGTGAAGGGGAGAGGAGATATGGGCTTCCAATTATGAAATGAATAAGTCATGGGAATAAAAGGCACAGTATAGGGAATATAGTCAATATTGTAATATAATTTTATGGTGACAGTAGCTACACTATAGTGAGCACAGCATAACATATAGAGCAGTTGAATCACTATGTCATATACCTGAAACTAATGTAACATTGTGCATCAACTATACACAGATTTTTTTTTAATCTTTAAGATTTTATTTATTTATTGAGAGAGACAGAGTGTTCACATGAGCCAGGGGGAGAGGCAGGAGGAGAGAATGAAGCAGACTCTCGGAGAGCAAGGAGCCCAACATGGGGCTCGATCCCAGGACCCCAAGTTCATGACCTGAGCCAAAGGCAGACATTTAATCGACTAAGCAACCCAGGTGCCACTAAAAATTTTTTTTAAAAGAACATAAGTTTGCTTAAAATGTTAATGTTCTGCCTTTAAGTTAATTAACTACCTCCAAACTAAGCTCTGATATCATGGTAGAGCTCGGAGGCCATGAATTTCCTTCCCACATGAGTTGATGGCCCTGTGCCCTGGAGTCAGTCCCTAAATTCTCAATCCCAACTACTTTTCTATATAATGAACATTCTCCAGTAAAAGATTTATAAGCTTCCTTCCAGCTAAAAAGTTCTATAATTTTAGTCATTAAAACTGAATAACCATCCTCTAATGATATAAAACATGCCTGGAATTCAAAGGTACAAAGACGGTTATAACCTAATCCAGAAGCTGGTTATTTTTTCCAGGTGGTATCTTGAGGTCCAGTCCACACCTACTTTCAAGAACAAAGAGAATGACTGATGAGGAAAGTCCTATTTCAGACTAGAATTCATTCTATGGATAAAAAGAAGACCTGAGAGCAAACTGTCAATGTCCTTTCTTGTACAGCCTCAGGAATGAATAATTAACTTACTTCAAGCATCATTTGTAGAACTCCAACCATGTACCATGGTGTGCTGGTTGGTATAACCACAATGAGAAATAAGAAAATAGTTCTAATACTAATCTGATCAGGATAAGTGAAAAGTATTCTTTAAACACTCCTTACAATACAATATGCTAAGGGTGATAATAAGTGCTGGTATAAACAGCATAAGGATCAACTCTAATTTATTTCAACACAAGGCCTGCATGTCCAAGGAAATATCTCTGTACTAAAACCATGCAGTGAGAGAAGATAAAATCAACTGCCTCTGAAAAGCTGCCAATGAAACAGGACCTCTGCTTTTGTGCTAAATAAAGACATCAATTTGTCCACTCTTCATACTTATGGTAAAATCAGGATGGAATGTAAAGGGAAATAAAAGGTAATGATTTTGGAACAAAGCTGCATGATGCAAGTGCTCCATTGGGAATAAACAGACAAGGAGCAAGTTAGAGAGTTCTGTGCAATGAAGGTCAGTTTCCAGTCCATTCGGCAGAATCAATACAGTGCCTTGGACTTGCAATAGGTCTCATAAGTCATAGATTGACTGGGCCATGTATCAACCTCCACCCTGCATAGCTTTCAATGCCCCTCATCGACAAGCACTGCTGAGTAAAAATCTGTGATCAGAATCCACAATTGGAGTGGAATGCTCCCCACACATAGACCGGCAGAGAAACCGAGTAGATAACCAACAGCAAAAAGTACCATCACATTCAAGAGACTATGTGTCAATTCTGGAATTGATTTCCAAAGTCAAAACTGAAACTACCATCAGAGGCCTCCTCCAAAATTCCACTTCATAAAGAAGGTTTGTCTCAATGAAAACTGACATTCTGCACAAATCCAGAGAATCGTATTAATGTCCATCCTTCTTTTTGATATGGTTTTCTCATAGGAAAACAGTTGACAAAACAGAATAAGAAACAGAGAAAGGGAATGGTTAGTACCAGGAAACATCGTTCAAACCTCTAGGCACTCGTCCCAGTGCTAATAGTGAACACGAGTCAAAAATCCCTGCCTTCCTAGAGCTCATACTCCACAAGAGGAGACAGAAAATAAATAAATAAGCATGTCATATACAGCATATGAGAGGTGATAAGCATAAGAGAGAAAAAGTAGTGAAGGCAGGGAGATAGTTTTGGGGAAGTAGGGCTGCTTCAGAGAAGCTGATGTTGCAATCAGCTACAAAGTATAATATTTTCTGAATGCCATCACTCCAAGTAACACCAACAATGTTCACTGTCCAGGCAAAGGGAAGACAAGCACAACTCCTGTTATAGTCTGACCTTTGCACTGGCAACCAAAAACTATACAAAGCAGACATTCCTCAGTCCCTTATCTCGATCTAGGAATTTATTTGATGGGCCAGAAAGCGAAAACTCTGACTATAATAATAGCTAACATTTTTATAACATTATCTGTGATCATCCAGGTACATTCTAAGAGCTTACACATGTTGATTAATTCAATGGCTCATGTCACTTCAATAAGGCATATTTATTATCAACCTGTTTTTCAGATGAGAAGACCAAGACAGTGAGGTTTACCTGAAGAGTAGATTTGGGATTCCAAACCAAATGTTCTTTTTTTTAAAGATTTTATTTATTTGTTTGTTTGACAGAGAGAGAGAGCACAAGCAGGGGGAGCAGCAGAGGGAGAGGGAGAAGCAGGTTCCCCGCTGAGCAGACAGCCTGATGTGGAGCTCAATCCCAGGGCTCTGGGATCATGACCTGAGCTGAAGGCACACATTTAACTGACTGAGCCATCAGGTGCCCCAAAACCAGATGTTCTAGCTCCAGAGGCTGTGCTCTTAACTACTGTACAGAGACATATGCCTGCAGCTAAAAACCTTCCTGATATCTCCATTTGGATAGCAAATGGGCAACATGAAATTAATGTGCTCAAAATAAAACTTTGGATCCTTAATACATCTTCCCTCCCCCTCCTTTTCTACCTGTGCACACCTGCTCCTCACTTGGGCTTCCAGAACTGCCTTTATAAATAGAACACACAGAGCTGCTCAGGCCCAAAACTGATTTATCTGTTCCTCTCACACTCTTCATCTAATCTGTCCAAAAATCCCGCAAAATATTTCTCATATTCAGCAACCTCCCATCACTTCCAGGCCGTTGTCAGGTTTCATCTACAAACAGCCGTCTAGCTGATCTCTCTGCTTCTCTCTTGTTGCAGAGTCAATTCTCCCTCCTCCAAGTACGAGTGATCTTTTGAAATGCAAATTGTATCATACAATGCCCTTGCTCAAATAAATCTGATGACTGCTATATTAGTCAGAGGTCTCCTGAGAAACAGAACTAGTAGGATATAGAGAGACAGAGAGACAAAATGAGGCAGAGACAGAGATTTACTTATTTCAAGAAATTGGCTGCTGCAGTTTTGGGGGCTGGCCAGTCCAAAATCTGAAGAATGGGCCAGCAGGCTAGAAATTCCAGCTACAGTTAATGTTGTAGTCTAGAGTCCGAAGACTGAAAGCTCAAGCAGAATTTCTATGTTTCGATCTGAAGAAAGAATTCCTTCCTCCCTAGGGGACTTCAATCTTTTCTCTTAGGACCTTCAACTGATTAGATGACATTAAGGAGGGTAATCTGCATTCAGGAGGGTAATCTGCTTTACTTAAAGTCTACTGATTTAAATGTTAATCATATCTTTAAAAAAAAAAAAAACACATACCTTTGGGATACCTAGATGGCTCAGTGGTGTCTGCCTTCGGCTCAGATCCTGGTCCCAAGATCCAGGATGGAGTCCCACATCAGGCTCCTTGCATGGAGCCCGCTTCTCCCTCTACCTGTGTCTCTGCCTGTCTCTCTCTGTGTCTCTCATGAATAAATAAATAAAATCTTTTTTAAAAATATAAAAAATAAAAATAAAAAAATACCTTCATGGCAACATCTATACTGGTGTTTAACCAAACAACAGGGCACTGTAGACTAGCAAAGTTCACACATAAAATTAACAATCACAGCTTCAAAAATTCAGAACAAAACCTATGGCCTATAGGTCTCTCTTTCTGCTCCTACTTTATCCATTCTTTGAATCACCTGGGCTCTTTGTTCGCATACGTGACATGCTTCTTCCTACTTACAAAAAATGCCGTGTGCTTGTTTTTTCTGTTCTTTGTATCTGGTATGCTCTTCCCCCAGAACTCCATATGCCTCCATCCTTCACTTAATTTGCCTCTCTCTAACGTCCCTGCCTCAGGGAGGCCTTTCTTGGCCAGTGTATCTCCGACAGACCAGAACCCTTTAGTACCCTCTAGGTTCTCTGTCTGCCTTCATAATACTTATCATGTCTAGAAGCATATTGTGTGCTTGTCCACAGTCCCCCCTTGCCCCACCAAGATGTTTTATTTAATCATTTAAATTTCTAGCTTTATTCAGTGTAAGGCTGAATAGTCTCTGCTATATTGTTGGTACTCAGTGAATGAAGCTGAATGAACGAAGTACATTATAAAAGTACATTTTTAATCCATTGGCAGAAAGGAACTATGGTAATATTAAGAAACATTAATATCACTTTTCAAATACTTAAGATGTAAGTGAAACTATACATAGTGTTACTTTTTTGCTATAATTTATATTCCATGCAACATTCTCTTTAGCTGTAGTGATTGTTTTTGTTTTCATCTAAGGTTTTTGCCAATCGTCTATAATTGAGTTTTTTTTGGTTTTTTTTTTTATTTGAGGTCACAACTCTAAATGCTCTTTCTTCCCTAGAACATTACACTTGGATCAACCAACCTCCTCAAAGCACAATGCACGGAATAACCATCATTTAAAAAAAAAGAACAACATATAATTTGGGGCACATGAGTGGCTCAGCGGGTTAAGCATCTGACTTTGGCTCAGGTCATGACCTCAGGGTCCTGGGATTGAGCCCCACATCCGGCTTCCTGCTCAGCAGGGAATCTG